AGAATTATAATTAGAACCATTCATGTAGTATACAGTCTCTATTCTTATTATGACAGTATCTGTGTATTTTTAAATTTCAACATTATATTCAAATAGAATTGTTTTTGGAATCATTCATATATTATACATTTTTTATCGATATTATTATGGTAAATCTGTTTTTTTAAATTCTAACATTATATTCAAATAGAATCTTTGTTAGAAAAATTCAATTATTATCCGATGACCGATCATTTGAGTGATTGAAATTTTACTTTCCAAAGAAACAAAATATTTGACTAGAATGATTTTTTCAGTTGTTCATTTTCTACTGATATGCTGTACCTTAAACTATTCTTGCCTTTTACTAGAGTGAATAAGATTTTTGACTAATATTATCGATAGAACTATTTATTTAATATCTACTATACAATCATATTGCAACTTCAATCACATTTTGAAAAACGAAAACGATATTTGAACAAAGTATGACAGTATAAAATATTCATTTTTCATAAGATACTCAATCATTATTTACAACAAAACTATTTGTTCGAAGAGTTAAACATACCCGGATCTACTTATGACTGCAATATTCATTTTCTGTGCGACGATAGCTACTAATACTCATTATATAAGTTTCTGTTGCTGTAATTGAAATATTTCAATATAAATATTGTTCTCCAAATTCATATATCGAATTATATCTTCGATTAGAGATACAATGACAAATGGTGTGTTGAAGTCATTAACATATTTTAATGAATCTCTTGTTCGCGCAATTTGTATTACATGGGAGAGTAAGTTATGTATTTTAGTACATATAAAGTATATGTGTTCTTCAACATATTAGTATGTATCTTTGATACGCAATATTCATTATTGTTCATTCTTCGATCAAATAGTCTCTTAACAATATTAACTCTATTTCACTAAAATAGCTGAACCACAGCTTGGTATAAAACATTCATAATTACTATCTCTTAGCTATCTGGTATCATAGAAATGTGACTTTAAATTAATGAAAATACTTGAACATAATTTTAAAGTTTGATTTTATTCATTATCAATTAGTTTGCCAGTCTTTAAACATAGCGTAAGTCCTACATTTAATTGAATAATATATGTGATTATGATGTTTGTTAAACGTGTTCATCTATGGCTTATTTTAGGATGTGCTAATCCGAGATAGGAATCTCATTTTAATGCTAAAACATATTTGAATACAGTCTTGTTATGATTTATTCATACATCATTTATTTGTGAACGTTAAACTATTCTAGAAAATGTTCTTCGAACGAAGTAAAATACAAGAACATAATCTTCGTGTGACTTATTCATCTGTAATTTGTTGGTGAATGTTAAACTGTTCAAGAAATTGTTCTTCGAACGAAGTAAAATACTAGAACAGAATCTTCTTATTACTTATCCATTTTTCATTTGTTCGCGAATGTTAAACTGTTCTATAAACTGTGCTTCAAATGAAGTAAAATACTAGAACAGACTCTTTCTATAACTTATTCATCTATCAATGTTTTGTGAATGTTAAACTGCTCTGGAAATTGCTCTTCGAACGAAGTCAAATATATGAACACAATCTTGCTGTGACTTATTTGTCTATCATTTGTTGGTGAATGTTAAAGCATTGTATAGATTATTCTTCGAACGAAGTAAAATACAAGAACAGAATCTTTTTATGACTTATTCATCTATGATTTGTTTGTGAATGTTAAACTGTTCTAGAGATTGTTCTTTGAACGAAGTAAAATACAAGAACCGAATTTTGATATGAATTATTCATCTATCATCTGTCTGAGAATGTTAAAGTGTTCTAGAGATTGTTCTTCAAACGAAAAGAAGTACTAGAACAAAATATTGGTATGACTTATTCATCTATCATTTGTTTGTGAATGTTAAATTGTTCTAGAAATTCTTCTTCGAACGAAGTAAAATATCTGTACACAATCTTACTATGACTTATTCATTTGTCGTTTGTTTATTAATCAGCTAGTCGAGTAAAAATTCTATGCAACGTGAATTAAATAGTTGCATCAAGTATTTGTGCAAAAAGTTTATAAGTCACATATACTCATCAGCCGCCTAGCTCGTTCAAATATTCCTTCCAACTGTATAAAATAGTTGAACACAATCTTCAGATGACTTATTCATCTGACGTTATTTCTTAGGCACTAGTACATGTTTTTAATACGTTTATGAAGCGAATCACAGATCTGAATAGATTTTCTACCAACAACTTCTTAAGTATGTTTTTTTAAGATTATTTATTTATTTATTTAACCAAGAATAGTTCTAATATTATGTTTTGTTTTTTATACATTTTCTTTCAAATTATTATTCTATTTATTTTCTAGTATTCGACTGAATGCTTCTTTGTTTTTTTTTATAGAAAGGACAAATTGCACGTTGTGGCGTACGAAACACAAAATACTGACATTTTTTATCATATAGTTAGTTGCAACTTTTTTGTCTACCATTTTTCGTTTTTTTTCTTTTTTATGTTTTCGTTTTTCTTTCTCAATATTGATATCATTTTACCATTTATTTACTCGCGCATATTTTATTTATTACTTTCTCCTTTTTTCATTTTCATTTTTCATTTTTCATTTTCTTTTGTCTTTTTCTTTTTTCTTTTTTCAATAAAAAACATTAGTTAGAAATAAGAGTATTTGTTTTATTTCTCTAAATAACACAACATGAAATAAATTGTATAATGCACTATAAACTAGAAAATATGGTATAAGAGTTTAATGAAAAATATTGTGGGGGATGCTGATATGCATTCATCGATGAACAGTGGCGTAGCCAGGAGTTTTAGACCAATGGGCAAATTTCTAGTACCTCGAAAAATTCGATGGGCAAAATGGTCAAGATTTTTATTGATGGGCCAAAAAGTTTTAGCTGAGTAAAGTACTGATAACGTATAAAAAGCGGAAAAAGAATGAAATGAGAGTCTTATAATTAAAAACATGCATTAAACTTAGACTCAGATCTTAAGCCCAAGTTAAGTGTATTTTAAGTCTCTCATACTAACTTTGTTTATAACATTTGTTTCAAACTCAAACATCAAGGTCAGACTGACGAGAACTTATTTGTGTATATAATTTCAACATAAAGGGCTGTCGCGAATCGTTAAATATTTGAGGCAGTCGAAAAATTTTTCAAAAAGTTCTCAGAAACTTCTATAAACTATCGAAATTTTAAAAATTTTCGACGATTTTTGTGAGTTTTTAACGACTTTTTTTGAAAATTTTTCGAAAATTTGTTCAAAGTTTTTCGAAATCTCTTAATAATTTTGAAAAAGTATGAAGAAGTAAAATTTCAATGGGCAAATCTCCAAATACGATGGGCAATTGCCCACTTGCCTCCTGGCTACGCCATTGTCGATGAATCATTACTTCTTTCAAAAATAATATATTCAAAACATTAAGAATAATAAGTTTGATGTGCACAATATATTTTCACTATAAAATAAAATTAATAGCTCAGTTTAGTTTAATTCTGATTTATATAAATGCATCTAATTAAATAAATAATTTTAATTGAAGTTTATGAACATTTCTCTTCTAAATGTGCTGAATAAAATAAGTTTGAAATCGGTTTAGCTTATTTACAGTTGTTTTTCAATAAAATGAAATTTAAAAACAAATTTACAATGATATAATTGCTTGTAGTTGTATTTGATATCATGTGAAAAGAAAGAAGGATTAAACTTATCATATTTATTCAACCATGACATCAGCCTCTGCTCATGGTAAATAAGAATGAAACAAAATCGCACACGTTGTGAAGAGAGAAAGAGAACAGAACAGAACAAAAAAGGAGAATAACGATAGTGATACGTGATGATGACTAACTAGAGATGGCTTGTCTATTTAAATTTATAAAACTATTTTATGCAGAAAAAATAAAATGAACTATATGTGCATGAGAAACAATAAGTATTTTTTGATTTAAAATATTTATCTTTTACCTATCTATTATTTCACATAATAGCTGTTCTATTAATCGATTTAAAAAAATAATAACAACCCGACGATAGCAATACAGAGTTTTTGTGATATTTTTTTCTTAAATTAGAAAAATGCGATGCGAAGCTCGATTTCGAAATAATGACTTTGAGGTTTTCATAAAATTCTCAACATTCACGATTATAGTAGAATAAAATCAAATTTATATTGTTGAAATCGAGCATTCAAACTATGATATGTTGAAAGAACACTGATGATTTATTATCTGTCATCAGCTGTACTATCGAAGTAAGAAACTGTGAACAATCTTATTTTTAACAAAAAGTTTAATCAATATTTCGTTTGTTTGATTAAAAATAATGAAAATCTGGAATAAATAAAATCAACTAATGATTGTGATTTTTAATAATCAAACAATTTTTATTTAGAAATGAAAATAAATGCTGCATTAAATTATCATTTAGTTTGGATGCACTCGTGTCTTTTTTGCGGCATATACAAATATGTGATTTAATTTATTTCCAGTTTTATAACCAAGGCTAACTTTGTTATCTGTTGCTTATGATCATAAGATATCCACCTTCATAACAGTAAACAATATATTATAAAAACTATCTCATTGTCCTTCGTCTCATTATTCAAAAAATAAGAACAGAGTATGTTTACTATTATGACGCAAAATCGAATATACCTTCTCTTTTATGATATAGTTTTCGAAAAACCCAGACAATTTACCTTGTAATAAAAATGTAAACAAAACAACAGAATAGTTTGTTCATGATTCAAATAACAAAACAAAATGCCAAAATACATTAAATCAATACAATCAAAGTATGAATTTATTCTCCTATATTTATCCGATAAAAAAAAACTTAATCAACATATATACTATTTTGTTATATGAAATCTCTCAAATTTTTTCAACAGTTATATTACTGATTAAATCAAAAAAAAAGAAAATCACCGATATAAAAATTACAAAAGAAAATGAAAATAAATATACCACAAAAAGAAGAAAAAAAGAATTTTTTATCATGCAGCACAAATTATATCAAGAAGATATGGTGAATCAATAGATGTAAATAAATTTGAATAATTATTATCACTTGTAGTTAATATTTGTTGTAAACGATTAAGAATATTTGAATCCGTTATATATGAAATTATTTCTTGAAAATTTTTACTTGATATTGTGCTAAAATGTTTTTTTAACAAAGTTTCTCCTATTGTTAATATTAATTGTTGAAATCCTACTCAATATTTAATTGCATTTGAAGTTATATTACAATGTTTAAAACGTGGTAATAATTCATGGATTTGTTTCGAATTTAAATTTAATATAATAATTATGGGTTGTTTTTGCATTAATTCAAGTTGTAATGATATAAGACGTGCTTGTTTTAAATATTGTTCACTTTGATTAGAACATCCAGTTAAATAAAAAATATATTAGCTGCATCCGAATAATATCGAAGTAAACTTTGTAATGTAACTGATAGATCAGCTAATGATGTTTGTTGATTAAATTGAAGTGTTTTTTTATTAATTTTTCTCCTGCATCACGATATATTATAATTAGCTCATGATGCATATTTAAATTCATGGATAGTGATGTAAATGTATGTTCATCATGCATATTACTTATTGCTGATAATAATAAATCAAATACATAAATCATTTCTGAATATTGTTTTAAACCCATTAATAAATGTATTAGTAATGTATAATCATTTAAATCATTAAGTCAAATTGTTATATGACGAGCATGATCAAGTACGAAACATATTCCTTCCATATGATATGAATTAATAAAACATGTGTGAACACGAATTAGTAATTCAATACGAAGACGAAGTAATGGTGATGAAACATCTATTAAGAAAAAATAAATAATTAGAAACCTGTATCAATATAACTTTATCAGAAACTTAAGTATCTCGTGGCAACAATTTCAATAGTTATAAAATTTGATTAATATAAACATTAAAAAAAAATTCTTGTTTTGTTTTTTGAAAATATAATTTAAACAAACATTGTAAATCTAATTGAAGAAATGGTTCTTTATATATTTGTGATTTTCGAACAAGTTATTTTGCAATAGCATCATTAATTTTTTTCAATATAAAAATGAAATAAATTGTCTATATGATTCGATATTATTTGGATCAAATGGTCAATGATGATAATCATCAGTTGGATCATTTTTTTGACAACGTTCTAAAGTTTTACTAGTTGTTGATTTGATATTCTTAATTGTTTAGCTAAATATTCTGCTAATTTAATTTTTGTTTGAAACGATGATGATGGATATGAAAGAATACATTTTAATAAATTCCATTCATCATTCACTCATGTTATTGTCATTGTTCGTAAAACATTTGTTAAAGGTTTTTTTTATTAAATTTACCCGTATTATTTATTTGTGGAAGTTGATCAAGACGTGTACGAATATCAGATGGTGTTAACAGATTTAAATATAAACGATATTCATAAGAGAAAATAGCTAAATTATTAGGTATTAAACGAAATTCACTTGCTGATTGTAATGCAAGTTCTGATGACGTCCGAGATAAAAATGTATCTTGAATTGTTGTTAAATATGAACGAAAAACTTTATCAGATAAATGACATAAATTTGTTGCATGTGAATTTGTCAAAGATACTGATGAACGACGACTTAATGCTAGACCGAAAGATGGTAATTGTGACGACGATTTGATAGTGTCAGCGAACTTTTATCTTAAAAAAACAAAAATTCTGTTGTTTTAAATTATTTATATTCAATATAAATTATACCTGTTGAAATTATATCTGATGTTGATAGAAGTTTATCTATGTTAAAGACCTTTTTCTTAAAAGAAGTGCTTCAAATGCATTTTCAGCAACAACTGTTGATTTTTTATATTTTCTTGAACTACCTCTATTTCATTGTCATCAAATACACGTAAATAATCATCAAAATCGATTAATATTAATGTTTTAACTGCTAATTGATCTAATACGGATTTAGAAAATAAATTAACTACATAATCAAGTATTTTATTCACAATTGGTCTATCAAATTTATCCATAATTGGTTTTTGTTGAAGTATTTGAATAGAAGAAGAAGAATAATCATATGATACAGGTAAATGTTGTGCTTCACTCGAAGATATAATTAATAATAAATGAATTAATTTTGATGATGTTGAACATATTGATAAAAGAAAATCTCGATAAAGCAATGGCTATTTTAAACGTTTTAATACATCTTGATGTCCTTGACGTATTGTATCAAATGCTTCATTTAATTCTCTATCATCTGTATCTAAATCATGTTGTTATTCATCAAATGAACATTCAAAACATTGAAATAATGTCATGTCCATTTCATCAACTAAATCAAAAATCGATCATGTTTTACTAGTTGTTCAATTAATAAGGTAAAGTAAATAATGGTTCAAAACGACGATAAGATTCATTTTATACATCAAGTAAATGAAAAATTGAACATATATCTGTATGTGATGATACTTGTCGAAAGACACAAAAGTAATTCTGTTGTTAATTGTGTAAATCATATTGATGATTGTCCACGACCAATACATGCTTGTGTTGAAGCTAAAAATGTTGGCATAGGTTGTTCATTCATATCAATACATGCATGGCAAAAACGTACTAATGATTCTAATCGACTTTCAGGTGCAAATATATGTGTTGTAAGACCAAGTCCAGCTGTATAACATAATAAACGACTAGCTCAATTAGCAAAATTTGATGTAAATGGAAATAGATGCGGATATTTATGATTCAATGATTGAAGAAATAAAACAAATGCATCGATTGATGATACTTGTGGAAGTGTACTATAAAGAACGGCTAATAATGGACGAGAGCATTGTAGTGCACCTAAATAAATGAATAAGGTATATATATTTATCGAAGATAATATAAATAAGTTTGAAATATAAGAGTTTAGTTTGATTTAATCTGAAGTCATCTATGAATTCAAATGATTTACTTTGTTGAAATCTTAATTTAAGTTGTTCTGATGTTAATGTTTGATCAGTTAATAAAGTAAAAATATCTTGTTTAACTAAACGTTTGAAACAACATTTTAAATGTTCAAATAACATATTTTGTTGTTGTGTTAATGATAAACATGATATAATGTCATCTGCATTATAATGAAATAATTGTGCAATAAATAACATTTCAAATCAATACCAACGATTAGCATAATATGTTAATAATGTCGATATTTCAATGAATATGTTTCAGAAAAAGATTAAATAAAATTAATTGATAATAAATAAGTTTTTAAATTTGTTTCACATAATATAATCAAAAAAATGTTTTAAACGATTAATTCTTCGATCAATTAATGTTAATAAATTTTGTTGATTTTGTTTTTGATCATTATTTAATGATGAAAACCAATTATGTAAAGTAGTTAAATCTTCTTTAGCAAGAAACATATTTTCTTCTTGTCATGTAAAATATCATGCGATATATCTAATTGACTATAATGATCAAGTGAATGATAAATACTTATATCAAATATATTTATTTTTGAATATTTTCATAATAATCTTAATGCTGGATATTTCAGAACTAAATTTTTATCATTTTCATCTTTACAACTATTTATTCCTTGATGAGCCATACGAACTAATGGATCAAGTGAAAGTGTATTATCAAAAGAATTTTGTATTACATATTCACAAGGATGAAAACGTAACTATTGACACCATAGTTTATCATTATCAATATCTATGTTTTCATTATTAATAGAAGAACAAATATATATGCTAGATGGACTTGATAGAGTTTACTTTGATTTAACATCAAAGAATCATTTGTTTCATCTTGAATAATACTATGTCAAAAAACTGTATCTGATCAGTTTGAAGGAATTCAATGAAATCAATCGAATAAACGATCGTATTAATTCTAAATTTTCAATTTGTTCAATAGAATTTGACTGTTATAGTAAAGTTAAGGACCGGCGAGAGGAGGCATATAACCACGCTGATACAAATTTTGATCGTAATTCATCATCTAAATGAAAATAATTTAAACATTAAACAGATAATACAGTTCTCTTTTCCTAATTAACTAATACTGATATGACAATACCTTTTCATGAAAATAAAAGTTGTTCACCAATTAAATGTTGACCTTCTGTAATTAACAAACATTGTTTTTTTTACATCTCTGTCTTTTTCATTGATAGTTGTATATATCCAATCAAAAGTAATTCTTTTTTTGATGATGATATTATTTAAAATGATTGTTGAGGATTTGGTTCAATATCTTCACAAAAAATTTTTTTTTATTACTGGTGCAATGGAAAATATTCTAGTCCAATATTCAATTGATTTAAAAAATTTAATTTTTGCATTTCTTAATTAGTTAAATAAAATTCTTTTCTAAGATTATTCAAACATTGTCTACAATATATTCTTAAATAATGATAAACAGTTATTGACATAATACGTTGTATAATGGCTAATGGAGGTATACCAACACTAAATAAAATTTTTATTGATGTTTTATTATCTTGATCAGCTAAATTTTGTACACATGTTTGTGTAAAACAACGTGAAATATATCACCAAGTAAATTTTGATCATGTGATAAAGCTAATGGAGGTGAATTATTAAATAAACAATGTAGAATAAAGTCATCAAATGGTTAACCTTGTTGAGAACGTCTCCGTTGATTAAGTTCATTTTGTGTTAATGGTTGTTGTTGTTGAAGACTTTTTAAAATTTGTTGTAATTGTTTAATTGTTGTAGATTGTAATGCACTAAATTTATTTATAAAATGTTCATGTAAATCAAATGATAATTGTTTTGCCGAAAGAAATGTATCTACATGTTGATTATGAAATGATAAGTTAAATAAATGATTATTTAATCGATAGAATAACGAACGATATATTGTTGGCAATTCAGATGGATCAACAGCATCAATTAAACCTGTTAAACTTTGTTTTATTAGTGGACGTTTGGAAGCTAAAGCAGCTTCAAATTCAGACTGAGCAAAATCCATGTTATATATATATAAATTATTCCTTTTGAAGATATAAAAAAAACTAAGTGATAATAGGAATAGACTTGACTGATTCATTTTTTCCTTTGAAGTAGACCCATTGGAATCAAGATATAGATAGAAGTCGCGCACATTCACGTATTTAAAGAATGATTCACATAGCAACAATAAGTTCATACTACTGCAGTTTTTAGTTGTACGATAAATATGTTATTCATCAAATGTAGCTCTATTAACTAAAGATAATAATATAGGACTTTTACAAATGATAGATCTTCAAATAGTCACAACCATGACTTTCTTGGGTGAACGTGAGTGTGCACGAAGGGAAGAGTATTATCCACACCCACACCCACACCCACACCCACACCCACACCCACACCCACA